CCGCGCGCTCCCTGCGCGCTCCCCGTCCTCCTGTCGGCCCCGTCGTTACCCCGAGCGAAAATCAGGGGATTCAAAACATGCCTCAAAACAAGGCAGGCAGCGGGGCCATCCCAGCAGCTAATAAGCTGGGACGGCTGCCCTGGTGCTCCGCGCTCCATCCCCTGCAGCCACCAGGAACGTCCTCCGGCCACATAACGACGCCGTTTGCCTCGTGCCCTTCAGCCTTCGTGAGCGCTGCCGCCTCCATCACCCGGAGCCGCGAGCGGGGATTCAAAACATGCCTCAAAACAAGGCAGGCAGCGGGGCCATCCCAGCAGCTAATAAGCTGGGACGGCTGCCCTGGTGCTCCGCGCTCCATCCCCTGCAGCCACCAGGAACGTCCTCCGGCCACATAACGACGCCGTTTGCCTCGTGCCCTTCAGCCTTCGTGAGCGCTGCCGCCTCCATCACCCGGAGCCGCGAGCGGAGCCGCCACGTCGCTGCGGACGCGTTGGAGCATCCGCGAGGATAAAACACAGCTCAGCACCCTGCAGCGAGAGCCCATCGCCCAGCTAAGGGGCCTCAGAAGTTCTTGCTTCCTCTCTAACACCCTATTTAAAACCTCAGGGTTTCCTTAGAGTTCAGCATTCCACTGGACCTGCTTTATCCACAGAAATCAAGGAAGTTGTGATGGATCCAGAGACTGTTTGGGATGATTTGGGACTGCGGGGTGACACGGATACAAAGCAGACTTTGTTCCTTCCCTGTCCTTCCTCTGCACCTAATGGAATGGGATTTGATTAAACTACATCTGCCGTTAAAATGTAATACCAGAACTCCAAGGAACTTTGGCACTAGCACTGCCGTAACATCCCTTCAAGAACAGGCAATTATTACGTAAAATGTACATAAGCTGAAAAGGAGAACCAAAATAAGGGGCTGCACCACAATCTAGGTCCTATTGCACTTCCCTGTCATCAAGGTTATGCTGGTTGCAGTTAATTTGGATTAAACTCTGCAGAGTTTGGATAGCCAGAGGCTGCCCCATCATCTATTTAAGAGCGCATCAGAATTCCAGAGTTCAAATCCAGCCCTTTAGAAAGTTTCAAACATGATTTGTCCAACAAAAAATACACACATGGTCGGAAACCCTCAAAGCACCAAAATGTGGCATCCAGAGCACAGCCACTAGACCCCCTTTTAATACAAACTGTTGTGAAAGTTTAAGTTATTTTCAATTGCACCGCACAACAAAAGGACAACACGATTATCCCGAGCTCCCAGAGCAGGGCTGCATTCCCCAAGCACACAAATCATAACCTGCAAGACCTGAAATTAAAGGGGGAGAAGAAGCTGGAAGGGATTATTTGCCTGAAAGCCCCGATTGTCAGGACAGTCTGCAAATTCTCCCCTCAACTTTCCTGGCCGTTTCCAGCTACGCAAACAAGCAGCGTTTTACAGCTCACGGATCATTTCAAGCAGCAGCAGCTAAAGCAGGGGGTATATTTGATGTGTGCCTGTAGCAGACAGGAGACAACAGATGGGTGCAAGCATTCTCGGGGGAAAAGAAGCTAAATGAATAAAAAGAAAACTTTAGGGCTTATCAGGCTTCTAGTTGTGATTGAAAAAAAAATTCTACAAGAAAATCCAGGCTTTTTTTTTTAGTAGTTTAACGTGAGAACACATAATGCACACACCGTGTGCAGGGGTTGGGCTGTACCATCTCTAGGGCTCTCCCAACCTTAGGGGTTCTGTGCTTCTATGACTGTGACACTTAAATCCCATCCCACCCGATGCAAAAATCCCAGGAATCATCTCGGTTCATCAGCTAACCTTAAATTGTTTTAGATCGAGGCACAATTAGCAGGGCGAGGAGGACTCCCTCCTTCATCCCGCCCGCAGCTCCAGCCTCGCTGCTGCTCTGAGCGCTGTCAAACGCCACGGAGAGGAGCAAGATGTTGGTTTGGCCTTGGGTGACCCCTCCAAACTTCTCCCACTGCAGCTCGCTTCTGTTTCTCCTGGCATCAGCGAGCGTGCTCAAACCAAAGCCTATTTTTAACTTTAATTTCAAGGTCTAGAAAAAGAATTAAAAGAAACTTTTTTTTTTTCCTGGTAAGCTTGATGCAGACAGATATTGCCAAGTTCATATTTCAAATCTTGAAAAATCAACTGATTTCGGAGATTATCCATTTTACCAGCTTTACGTCAGCTAAACTGTGATTATTGCCGGACTCCCTTTCCCAAGGAAAATATTATGTTTCCAGTTCTAAAAGCATTAAGGAAGTTTAAAAGCCAAAACACCATACATCACTAAGCATGAATTTATCCAACCCAAGAAGCTTGTAGCAATCCAAGCATTTTAAGCAAGAGATCTTTTCCATCTCTTCAGAAAAAAATCAGTTCAACTGCTTTAAAGACACAGTCTTCTGAAAGCTGCGAGCTAAAATCCTCCAAAGATCAAAGGTCTGAAAATGTAAGTCCCACACTTGAAAAAAAAAATCCTTATGAAATTAGGATTCTCCTCCCGTACAATGCCAATTTTGTTCTTATATATGCAGGCGATCAGATTAATTTGAGGAGGTTTGTTCGGAACCAGCAGCATCTCCAGTCGGTTCTCATTCACTTGGAGGTATCTGCATCCCGAGGCTGCGGGGCAAGGCCACCTCCATGCTCCAGGAATGGAACCACACACTGGAAAACCCGCGGCATCCCCAGCAGGCAGGAGCAGAGCCCCGCAACGGGCTGCGTTCCCTTCGGAGACGCGCGGAATCACTCAGCTTCATTCTTTGGCACTTGCTACAATTCAATTCCTTAAGAGCTTTATACACATATATACTAATAAAGTTCTTCTAACTTTTAAGCAGTAACCAAAGAGAGGATCCAAGTCTAACTAAATTCTTAATTAAATTTAGCATGGCCAAGTTCCGTGGATGTGGGATCAGGCTGCCCCTTATACAAAGGCATTTTATTTGTGCAGGAAAACTCTCTCCCCTCCTGCAGAAACTAAATACAACAATATCTTACTCCTACCTGAAATAAGAACACTGCAGAGAGAGGATATTCTCCCTTCCAGTCTAGATAGCTGCGTTTGCTGCAGCCGCTCTCAGATCGTTCTGTCCATCACCCATCTCACAGCGCAAGGGAGCAGAAACCCTCGCTCACCTCGCAAGAATATTATGAACGTTCCCTTACGGCCGCACAGAGAGAACGTGCATGCAGGGACAGGTAACAGCAACGCTAGACTACAGCGGTCTAATTTATTAGACTTCTGGAATGATTGATCTTTTTAAGATATTCTTCAGAAAAAAAGGAGTATGCATACCTGTGTTAATTAGCAAGCAGTGATTATGCCAAAAGGCACCTTAAGAGATTTACTCCTAGTCATGCAGCTCTGACATGGAAGCGAATCTCCTGCTATGTAAATTAACCAAATCTGTATTAGACAAGTAAGTCCACCTTAAACATCTCCTTGAGCAACTTTACCTGCCCTTTTGGTAGAAGGTTTATGGAGCAGTTTAAAACCTTGCCTCAACAAATCGATGGAAAAGGCCTTGTTTTACATGGACCGAAGCAACAGTTGCATAAAGTAATCTGACTTCCATAGTACTCTGCATTCAAGGGATGGTCACAGCCCGTTACACGATGCCTCAGTTTTTGTAAAGGATCCCTAGAGCGCGTCCACTTTGTAACTTGGACATTTTTCTGTCCAAGCCCGTATTTCTCTCTCAGCTGCTCATCACAGTCGCTACTGTTGTGGCGTTGGTGAGAAGAAAAATGAGCAACAAAGTTACAGAGAACAAGCTGCTGAAAGTCAAGCAAGGAGCCAGAGCTGCAGCACCCGCTTTGAGGATCAACTCCAGCTTTAGGAGGCAGAGAACTGGCTCGCGGAGCCCTTCCCCACAGCGACCGTGCAGCCCCCGGCCCCACGGCGCAGCCTGGGCCCTACTCACCCCTTGGACGTGCTCATGTCCACAGGTTCATCGCCCGTCTGCACCTCCACTTTGATGGTAGCTTTCACTTCTCCACCTTTTAACAATCCTTGCACTTTTGCAGCTGCAGGATCTGCTTTTATTTTCATGTCGCCTTCAGCGTTTACGTCCGCTCCTAATAGTCCTTTTTCCATTTTTATTTTTTTGCTGTCCACATCGTTATGCGGTACCTCACGTTCTAGCGCTCGTTTCTGACTCCGTGTCCTGCATGCTTCCTCTGTCATTGTGAGGCTCTGCAGAAAGAGGAGACACAAATGAGTTAAGAGCATTGGAAAAAAAAAAAAAAAAAGTTGGGCAAAACATCTTAATTTCCAAACAGGGCAAAGTACAGCGGTTACTGCACAAGAAGCTCAGAAAGAGCAGCCACAGCCTCGCCGGGGCGCTCACTGAGCCTATCTGCAAACGCATCTCAGCCGGGAGTTATTAAGCACTGAGCATCCCCCGTGCCTACAGTTTTTATGGTAAGCAGAAAACAAACAACAAAAAAAGGCAAAACAAACGCAGGCACTCACACACCCGCACACAAACCCCCCGGATAAAGCAGGATCACGGCGGGTCAAGGAAACCTGCACGGGAGCAGGGGAACATACAAACCGGCACGATCACCAAGTTTGGAGCTTTACCAACAGGCAGGAGGAACGAACGCGTTTTCTCGTATGCAAATGAAAGTAATTACAAACCCCCCGCTCAGGATCTCTCCGGGAGCCCTGCCATGGATTTCCTAGGGCTCTGCCCGCGTGCAAGTTTCGGGGATCGGACGGTCGGGACGCGAGGGGCGTCCTCGGCGCGCGGCCACGGCCACTACGGCACTGCCATTGTAGGAGCCAACTTGAGACTTTCTCCCCTCCTAATGAATGAGCCCGGCTTTTCCAGGGCTGCACAGGAAGTGCTCCGCTCCCGAGGGATCCCGGTTAACTCCCTGCGTGCCGGCGGCACCGCGAGCCGGGGCCGGACCGGGACCGGCCGCCCGGGAGCTGAGTCAGGCTTTGATCCCATGACATCACCCGGCTCCACATGACCCTTCCCAGGATGCAGCCCGACACACAAAGCGCTTCCAGAAACCGGTCTGCGCCGGCTGCGGCGGCGG